TTGGGGTAAAAATGGGAGTTCATAACCCACTTGAATCTAATGTATGAAATATGATATGTCAAGAGCTTTGTAATGTTTTGAACAACCAATAAAAAAAAGATAAATTTTGACCTTTTGGAGAGGTCTGAAAAATAAATAAATAAATAAATAAATAAAAGAGGTGTTGTGCTCAATATTGCATACCAATTAATGAACCTACTGCATCCTAGGACTGCTGGATTCCAGTCCCACACATTCTCTCCCATGAGAACATCAAGGTCTGACTGTTCCTTCTCTACCGTAAAGAATTATGTGTCCATGAGTACCAAGAGATGTTGACAAAAATCYTCAATCCAGATGTCCATGAAAAATAAATTCAAGTATATTATGATAATGGAATATCATATAGAAAGAGACTGAATGAACTAGAGCTACAAATAACAGTATGGCTGAATGTCACAAATAGCCAGGATATATACCATTGATAATAGTGTAAAACTGGAAAAAACTAAACTACAGCATTGGAGGTTACAGTGATATCTTTGGAAAGATGGGGCCCAACAGGAAGTTTGGGTGATGGTAATGGAAACTTCCCGTTGGGAATTTTTAAAACATTTTATAAAATGCTATGACTGTATAGAATCCACTTACAAATTGTGAAGGGGGAAAAGAAGACTATACTATCTAATATTTCTCAACCTCACTGTGTGCAAGGCCCTCAGACTGCTTTGGGTCCCCTGGATTGACAAAAGTATCCAAACAGCCTCTTGTATTTAGTCACTTTGCTGAGTCTGTCCCTTCTAACATGACCCAGTCATTAATCAATGCAGTTGAGTGGATAACTTACCCTATTAATTCTGTGACATACAAGGACACTTCTAGAGAGAACACATAAAACTATGAGAGTTGATGGTACTACATCCCATTACAACATTGATGGGTTTTTTGAAGATGTGGTTGAAGGGGTACTTAGGAGAAGAAGAAATAAGAGACAAATATGCTTGAAAGTCTGAAAAAACAACTATTTGATCTTAAAGTCTGGCCTCAATTTTTATGTCTAGAAAGAGCAAAGTTGAATTAAATGCCCTCTACTTTCCTCACTTTAGAACTGTTTGATTACTTTCATTGAAGCCAAAGGCTAAGAGTTGCAGTTCACTTCCACATCTGCCTCTCCCTAGAGAAATTCTAAATAGAAACCAGGTTCCCTTACCGTCCAACTATCAGGAGCTCTTTCTCTGATGCCTGCTTTCGAATATTGGTATAGATGTCAATGGAGAAGAGAGTGCTGGCACTATTGAAGATGGATGTCAAGGAGCTCATGAGAGAGGCCAGCATGACAGACAGCATCAGACCTCTTAGTCCTAAGGCCAAGAGAAAGTACAAACATCATTTAGCAATTGGATGTCATGGTCTACAAGGTTTTTGCTAAAAACAGAGAGCCATATAAAGATAAAAATGTCACCTGGAACATTGATTAACTACTGTAGTTGTAGTTTCTTTTTACTTATTTATACACAATAGCAKAATGCATTAAATTCTTATTACACATATAGAGCACAATTTTTCATATCTCTGGTTGTATACAAACTATATTCACACCAATTCGTGTCTTCATACATATACTTTGGATAATAATTACCATTACATTCCACCATCATTTCTAACCCCATGCCCCCTCCCTGCCCTTCCAACCCCTCTGCCCTCTCTAGAGTTTGTCTATTCTGCCCATGTTCCCTCTCCCTATCCCACTATGTATCAGCCTCCTCATATAGAGAAAACATTTGGCATTTGGTTTTTTGGGATTGGGTGACATTTTAATAATGATCCAGTACATAATTTTAGTACTAATTATAAGCATATTTATAAGCTAAAAACTAATTTTGGAAAAGAGTGAAGAATCCAGTATCATATTTCTTTGGAAAAGAAGGTCTTGGTTTCCTGAAGAGTTTGAGAACCAGAGAAGTAGAGGCCCAGTAGATAGCACTGCTGAAAAGCCCTTTGGTTTGGAAAAGTTGAGGGTTTTGAAACACAATGGAAGGTCCATACTTCTCACTTCAGTTCCTTCTGCCCCTTAGTAATGGACCTAAATCTGCTAGGACAGAGTAGAAGATGGTCTTGATCCTGAAAGAGCAAAGGTTCTAACAGAACCTGCATCTGGTTCACTCTTTATCTCCAGGCTCATCATATGGTTGGCAGCATGTGGAAGGGGCTCATGAAATATCTGAATAGAAATGAATTAATGGAAGTAAGAATACTAAGGTTTATTCTACAACCCTTCCTGATGGCCTGTGTAAGCAAGGACATTCACTTACCAGCAGGCATCAGTACCAGCACCAGCATTGGGTAGGCATAGTTAGTGCAGCCGACTTCAACACCACAGTGCTTCACACATTCAGAAGGTACAACACAGGCAACTATATCTGCAGAGATGTGTGGAGGTTAGTGCAGTGAGCAGGCAAAACCCACAAACATTGAACAAAGAGATAATGTATAAGACCATTAATGGGAGGAAATATATTTTCCTCAAAATTGGAGATTCTGCTTTGAACTTCATACAATGGATCCTGTCCTTCTTTGACCAGAACACAGCAACCAAGTATCTCATCTCCAAAACTCCCTTGCACTGACCATGGGGCAGGGCTCTACTTTGGGAGATAATGTGGCCAGATCATTAATGCAAATAGAAAGAGCTGATCCCATCTTCCAGAAAATGGCAAGAGAACCAGTTCTCCCAGGAGAATGATGCTCCAGAAGTATGAAAACACCCAGGAAGCTAGGCCCAGTGTCCAGTCACATTTTTCTCAGTGTCATTTGCCTACATCTAGGAAGATGTCACTGTGATGGTTAATTGGGTGACTATCCCATGAGGTATGAAGCCTCACTTCTGTGGCAGGTGATGAAATTTTGCTTAAGCAATATTAGGACAACAGATATGAAAAAGTGTTGCATATCCACCCAGAATAATAATACACTAGCACAGCATCTTCTTTTCATTTTGTTCTTTTCTAATACTTTTCCACAGAGAAACCAATATCTTTCAGTGGGTAGATCATCTTTGAGATAATACTTTGCAGTATTCTTTCTACAATAACATAATAACCTCAACAGTTTCCACATTTTTGAGATAATCTTTTGCCCCTAGTGTAGAATTTTCCATAAATGAGGTAAACAATAATTATTTGGCTATATTCTGCTAGGTGAGTATTGATACATTTTTTACTGTTATAAATAGTAAGAATTTCACAATAAGAAGTRATGTTTACCACTTGATGGTCATCTTGAGATTTCAGTGAGGTAAATTAATATTTATTTGAAAAAATACAGAGTGGATTTAGTGTTAGCTAACAGATTGYTCCTAATAAAAAATGAAACCCCAATTAGCCAAAAAAAGATCAGCTATATTTTCTTTGCTTTTCACAGTAAAGAAAAAAATGCTGATTTTTTAGGGATATTATCTACATTAATAGCTAGCCTCTCCTGAATCAGAAATGAATGGTCCCCCCCAAAAAAAATCTGATTCTGATAGCAAAAATTGATTCAATTCTATAGTTATCTCAGAGACCAAGAAATATRAATTTATCTCAAGACCTTTTCAGTCAGAGATGTGATTAAACTCCATGACTACAGATCACTCAAGTCATCTTTGCCCAATTCTACCTCAACCTTCAGTGCTCTTCTGTCATATTCTCTAGATTTCCTTAAATTCAAGCCACTCATGAAAATAGTACTCACTGTCTCAAATGTATATTAAGAGACAGGCAGGCATCATTAAAAACAATAATAAAACAGTGTCAAATTGCCAAATTTTCCTGCTTTTCATCCCCTTCACAAATCTTGAATTCTTCTTTTACTTCCATCCAGAATTGGGGGGTTTTTGGTGGGGTGGGGGGGACAGGGGCATTGATCATGGGTTTATACTAAAATTTTAAAATATTTCTTAGGATTCATAATAAAAAGAGGATATATGGATTCATGGCTTGCCTGTATATAGGATACGACTGATCATTCCTGGCATCACCATGAAGAATATGGGCAGAATCTTCAAATAGCCACACATGATGCAGGCAGCCTTCACGTGAGACATGTTCTTGCCGCACAGGCAGCGTTGTACCATAATCTGCCAGGAAAAATACAACATATTAGTAAAATAACCAGGTAATGATTTCCAAGGAGGTTAGTGTCTTTGTTCAGGGTTTAATGTTGCAATAAGTAATTACATCATGGTTAGTGGAAAATAATGGGCATTAGAATAAGGCCAAGATTTGAATTACTACTCATTTTGCACATATGTGATCCCTGTGAGTCTGAGGTTTCTCATAAAATAGGGTTCTCTCTTGCAGGGCATTCTGAATAATTATTATGATGCATAGTAATAACTTTGTTACATAGAAATCAATACACATTAAACTACAATTAAAGTATTTTTAAAGCTCCAAGATTGCAGATCAACAATCATAATGTGCTCCATTAGTTGCAAAGAAGTTATATTGATGCTACCACAAGTTGTGTAAATTGCGTCTTTAATATTGTAGGCATTAGCAGCAGCTCCCTACTTTAATTATGTAATGGCACCCTTGGGAAATAGACATTTGCCATAGAAACACCATAGTCAGACAATCATCAGAACTGAGCACTGAAACATTAATTTTCAGATTTCTTCAAAACATTCTGAGACTCTCATCTAGTTACAAATCAAATATGATAGCACTGGGGAAAATAATGCATGTGGTTTTGTAATTTCTACTTAATTTGTTCAGTCTTTTAACTGAGAATTTTCTAGCAAAGGAGTGTTTATACCTATAATGTCAAGACTTCTCAATATTTTTTAAAGGACCATCAAAATAGGGATGTCCTTTAGATAATCAATTTATTAGTGTTAACACTGGTATCATTTAATAATGGGTAAGAATATGGCATTTTTTAGACAGGTGTAGAAATAATGGGTAAGAATATGGCATTTTTTAGACAGGTGTAGAAACAAACAGTGAGGACAGAAACCCTGTGAGCAGATAAGCAGGATCAGGTATCAGATCTAAACAAATGTGAGGCTGCTTGCAAAGCATAAGTCAAAGAGTCAGAAATGAAATAGATATAATAAAGAAGGTTCATAAAAAATTCATAAAGAAATTTTGCATTATTTGACAGATATTTTGAGAAAATCAGTTTATTACTTGGGTAGTACAGACATTTTAACTATATAATTCTTCCAACTTATGAACATGGGATATTTTTATTTATTTGTGTCCTCTATTTATTTAATCAGTATTTTAGAGTTTCCATTATAGAAATTTTTCACTTCCATGGGTAATTTATTCCTAGGTATTTTAATTTTTTATCTACTATAAATGGGATATTTTCTTTAATTCTTTTTCAGAAAATTTACTAGTAGCTTATAGAAGTACAACTGATTTTTGTATGTTGATTTTGTATCCTTCAAGTTTACTGAATTATTATATATAGTTCTAATAGTTTTTATTGTGGCCTTTAATGTGATATTAGACATATATATCAGAATATATATCTCAATATGCAAATGTAGTCCCCACAACAGAGATAATTTTATTTACTCCTTTCTAATTTTCTAATGTGGGTATTCTTTATCTCTTTCTCTTACCTAATTGCTCTGAATAGGACTTCCAGAAGTATGTTGGATAGAAGGGGTGAAAGTGGGCATACTTGTCTTGTTCAATATTTTAGAGGAAAAACTTTCACCTTTATCCTGCTCTATAAAATGTAAACTGTGGATTTGTAACCTTTAACCTATGACCTTTATTATGTTGAGGTACATTTCTTCTACACCTAATTTGTTGAGAGCTTTTAACACAAAAAAAAATGTGCTAAATTTATCAAATGACTTTTCTGAATCTATTGAAATACTTATGAGTTTTTTGGTCCTTGATTCTGTTAATCTGATGTTTCACATTTAACAATTTGCATACATTGAGCCATCCTTAAATCTATGGGATGAATTCTACATGATTATAGTGAATAAACTCGTTAATGCACCATAGAACTCAGTTACCTAGTTTGTTGAGGTTTTTCCAACTCTGTTCATTAGTTTACTTTTTGTTATTTTCTCATATAATTTTGATGTCAGGGTAAATCTGACTTCATAGAATGAGTTTTGAAGAATTTCTTCCTTCTAAACTTTTTGGAATAATTTGAGAAGAATGTTCTTTGAACATTTGTTAAGAGTTTGGCAGTGAAGAATCAGGCCTTGAACTTTGATGAAATTAATAAAGAACTTTTTATTACTGATTCATCTCATTACTCATTATTGTTCTGTTTAGATTTTCTATTGCTTCATGGTTGCATGTATATAGGAATTTATCCATTTCTCCTGGCCTTTAAATTTCTTCCTCAAACTTGGGAAGTTTTCTGCCATTATTTCTTTTTCTTTTTCTTTTTTTTCTTTTTTTGGTGGGGATACCAGGGATTGAACTCAGAGCATCGACCACTGAGCCACACCCCTAGTCCTATTTTGTATTTTATTTAGAGACAAAATCTCACTGAGTTTCTTAGCACCTCGATTTTGCTGAGTCTGGCTTTGAACTTTGAACTCTTGCTTCAGCTCTGCCATTATTTCTTTACATTTGTTTCTATCCCTTTCTCACTTCTCCCCTTCTGCTTTTCTCCTCTTCTGCCCTTCTCCTCTCTTTAACTTTTTTTAATCTTTTTTTTCCTTTTCTTTTCATTTAATAATTTCCAATGAGCTATCTTCAAGTCCATTCATCAGCCTTCTGCTAACTCTAGTTTGCCATTGAATCTCTCATATTTTGGCATTCACTTCTATAATTCTATTGTAATTATAGTCTTCTATTAGATATACCTATGGCAAACTCGTGCAGGGTGTCTACTTTTTAAAAATGTTTTTATAGTTATATGTAATGTAATTTTTTGATTTTTTTCAGTTCTGTTTTTGTATTATTCTTTGGCTTGGTGATTTCTGTTTGGTAATTAAAAATTCTTAAGAAAAAAAAGAAAAAAGAAAATAAAAATTCTTTGATTTGAATTAACATGTTTTAACTCTACATATTAGTGGAGTTCAGTGTGATATTTCAGTGTTTGATGATAAAATCCAACCTCTCTTTATCCACCTGTCTCAACCTTCCCAATTTCTAATAATCCCTAGTTTACATCAAGGTTGACTTTTTTAAATTTCCATACATGAGAGAAAACACACAATACTTGTTTTTAAGTGTCTGGCTTATTTTAGTTAATTTAATATCTTCCAGTTCTATCTATTTAGTTTAGTGCTCTTATATATTTCTCTCTCTGTTAAGTTCTCTGTTTATGTATTGCTCTTCTTACCTGAGTGAGCTTTAAAACTGTTCTTTCAAATTCTGTCAGGTAAATTGCATATCTCCATTGCATTAGATTTAGTTCCTTGAGATTAATCTTAGTCTTTTGTTTGTAATATATTTTGTAGTTTCTTTATCTTCCTTGGCTCTCTATCTAATTTTGTGAATTAGATAAAGAAACCACCTCTCCAGATCTTGGTAGACTATTCTTGTACAGGAACTATTTCTCTGCAATCATCCTGGCAAACGATTTCATGTAACTCTTTGTGCTTATCCTACCTGCTGTCTTTATTCTTAGTGACTCACAAGAAATTACAGAGTGTCAAGTCTTGCTATTGCCTTAAAGAAGGTAAGATAGAATTCAGTCTTTTGAGGCACAGCTCAAGAGATTGGGATGTTAGATGTTTGACCCGTTTCCTTCTTTCCTTAAAGAAAAGCTGAGGGCCAGAGTTCATCTCCCACTCATTCTTCCCTACACCAAGGAAAATATGTGAGGCAGATTCCTGTATTCTTGATCAGCCTTCAAACTTGAGAAGGTAATTGTTTAATGTTTGCAAGTTTATTTTATCTTTATCATAAGAATTGAACMCAAGGTCCTGTGTATACTAATCAAGTGGTCTGCCACTTAGCTATGCCTTCAGCCTATTCATGAGCTTAAAAGTCTTGTTTTTATTCACTGTAGTGAAAGAGACTCAGAAGTGCAGATCTCCACCAACTCTGAGTCTAGTGAATTTGGAGCTGTTTCTGTGGGAAAATATTGTAAAGGTTACTCTTCTCAATGTACCTAGAAACTACTTTGAGGAAGAATCTAAACATCTGGATTTACTGCTGTAGGGAAGAAGTGGCAAAGAGTGCTCACTCTCTCTTGTTTAAGCTAGAATGTTTCATGATCTCTTTGAAGGGGGAACCATCTGGTTTGAAGTTATCACTGAACAAATCCTGGAAACAAGGTGCAACCTCAGAATGGTCCCCTAGCCTCCCTTTAATGAGAATTTTCAGAAGTTTGTCTTAAGATAAAGTCAGAGGAGAAGATAGGTATAACCCCTCCATTCTTGCTGGTAAAGATTTCCAACCCTTTTCCCATGAGAGACTGTAGGACTGGAATTGTCACTGAGGCAAACTGGGGAAGAAAGCAGAGAGTGTTTTTATACTTGTTTGGGCTAGAAATGGTTCATTCTCTATTGATACATAGGATAGAGTCTCAGATACTAGCTTGGTAAAGGCCAGAACCATAGGGAGCTATTGGGAAAACACACAGTCAACTCATTCCAGGKGAATCTGGGCTGATCCCTAGGGCTACAGCAGCTAGAAGAACTCACATGGTTCAAAACATTCTTCTTTCTTTGTGATTGAAAGTCATGGTGCCATACACTGTGCTTGCTATTCTTCAAGCAGGATGACTCTAAAGCTAAGCCCTCTAGTAGTGACTTTAAAGTTCAGCACCACATATGTGGTGTAAGCCCTTTCCACCCCTTGGGAAGATGCTGGGAATTGACTAAGACTCTGTTCTCAGTGGGGTTAGTTGGAATTTTTTCTCTGTTTTGATGTATGTATTTTCTCAGTCATCTATTATATAGTAATTTTTTGGCAGGGCAGGTGGGATTCTGAATTTGTTTTCAAAAGAAGGAAACTTTCTGTAGATGTTTAGTCTGTGTTTCTGGGAGGGGGAATAGACAGGAGCTTCCTATTCTGACATATTACTGATTTCACTCCTCCATTTGGAGGTATAAAGAGAAGATTTCAGCAATTCACAGAGATTTTGGTATTTAATGAGTAATAATTTCCAAGAAAAATTAAAACAGTGTAAAAAATCAAAATATACCACATCTGATTGGAGTTATGAATTACTCTCATATAATCAGAAAAATAGAGGCATTGCATACTGATCTGTCCAAAATTATGATATAGACATACTGGGAGGATAGGAAAACAAGAAATATGATACAAGGAATTGAGAGTAGAAAGTTAAACCCTCATCTCTCATCATGGGAAGCCAACAGAAAAATATTAAAACTGGAAAACCTAGAGGGAGCAATATAACAATCATTTGAATAATGTGGGATCAAGTTACTGAGAAAATTTTGACTAATTGGATTTCAGTAAGGTGTGAGCTCCAAGGCAATGTCTATGCTGACAGATCACAGATCACACACTGAATATAATGATTAAGAATAGAAATAAACACAAAAAAATCCTTAATTGAAAGAGCTAAAATTCTTTTCCTCTGAGGAGAAAGAAAAAGGGTATAGAGAAGAGAATCAGGTATATATTTTTATGAAAAGCCTTATGGCAGTGTTTGATACTTTAAAAGATATATGTGTAGGTAAAACTAGAAACTAGATGCTTTTTTACAACATAGAAAACAACAATACATACACACATGCTCACCTGATCTGTGCACCAGAACCACACAGCTAAGATATTCATTCCAATCATCAGTCCTGGCCATGGAATATCCCCAGTGATAGCATCTCGGAAAATGTGAAATGCATCCGCCTGGGGAGTGTAGCACTGGGGGCTGATTGTCAGGTTATCCCCCTCGATCACAGATGGGATGGCATTCATGTACTTCTCTGTAAAGCTGTCGTAGCCTCCAACTTCAGCAAAAGCTGAAAAGGCATCAGATAAAATAAAATTGTATGAAATTTCAAGACACCGGATGATTATGATTGCTCCTTTATAGTGGAGGTACTAGAGCACCTCCCTGCAGCTTGGTAAAATCCTCAGGGGCTTCCCACCATCATGTCTTTCTAGTTTCTCCACTGGCCTCCACCAAGGCTGAAGACTGGTCTTCACATAATACATAAAACAAATAATTCTCTTTTTTTCTCCTAGTGCTCTTTAAAGTTTTAATTTTGCATCTAGACTTGGGATAAAAAAATAAAACTGTTAGCTCACAGACAGATACTGATGTCTCACCACCACCCAGAGCAGAATCAAACAAGATGATAAGCTAAGAGATTCAGCCTAATGGAATTAGCCATCAGAAACTCCAACTCTTCTGAAAGGAAAAGAAAGAAATGCCTCTCTTACTCAAAATCTGGCCATTCTGACCTTATGTGCAATCTGATTTTCTGATGCAATATTTTATTCTGTTTATGTTACAATAAAAAAGTTGGAGATATGAGCAGAAATTGGAGGCAGCAGGTTAGATGTGATGAGGAAGAATGGTCAGACTAAGCCCACTGGAGGCTGGAAAGCCTAGTTAAGAGTAAACAAGAATTATAGTTAATCTTAGAAAGATGAATCTCGACCTCTAGGGCCACTTCTACAAGTTTAAATGATGCAAAATATACCCAAGTATTATATAATTGTAGAATTGTGGTTGGCATTAATTGTTCACTAATTAGTTGAACATTTACTATGTGACAAACATCATGCTATTGTGCAAAATAAATTTTTAAGGCAGCCTAGTGTAAGACACAGGCAATACAAAGAAATTGTTAAAAAGAAATATGAGCCAGGTTCAGAGGCACATGCCTGTAATCCCAGCGGCTTGGGAGGCTGACAGGAGGATGTTGAGTTCAAAGCCAACCTCAACAATGGTGGGGCACTTAGCAACTCAGTGAGACCCTGTCTCTAAATAAAATACAAAACAGGGCTGGGGATGTGGCTCAGTGGTCGAGTGCCCCTGAATTCAATCCCTGGTAGGTACCAAAAGAAAAAAGAAAGAAAGAAAGAAAAAAGAAAAGAAACAGAAAGAAAGAAATATGAGGGGTTGGGATTGTAGCTCAGTGGTATAGCACTTAACTGACAGGCACTGGGTTCAATCCTCAGCACCACATATAAATAAATAACTATATTGTGTCCATCTACAATTTWAAAAAAAAACATTTAGAGGAAAAATAAAGAAATATGAGCCAGGCACGGTGGCACATGCCTGTAATCCCAATGGCTCAGGAGGCTGAGGCAGGAGGTTGGGGGGCTCAAAGCCAGCCTCAATAAGAGTGAGGCACTAAGCAACTCAGTGAGACCCTGTAAATAAATAAAATACAAAATAGGGCTGGGGATGTGGCTCAGTGGTCAGCATCCCTGAGTTCAATCCCCAGTACCAAAAAGAAAGAGAGGGAGAGAAAAATGATTTATAAAAACCACATGGGGTTACACATGCAATAAAACTAGAAATCATTAACATGAAAAGCTTTCAAAAATTCTACAAATACACGGAAATTAAACGAACTATTCAAACAACCAATGAATCAAGGAAGAAATCAAAAAGGAATTTTAAAAACATTTCTTAGGCTGGGCACGTAGCTCAGTGGCAAAGTGCTTGCCTTGTATGCATGAGGCACTGGGTTCCATCCTCAGCACCATATAAAAAAAATTAACAAATAAAATAAAAGGCATTCTATCCATCTACAACTACAAAATTTTTTTTAATAAAAATAAAGATAAAACATTTCTTGAAGCAAATGAAAATGGAAATCAATATACTAAAAGCAATGGTATATGGCAAAAACTGTACTGAGGGAAATTTATAGCAATCAGTGCCTATAGCAAAAGGCCAGAAAGATCTCATAGAAACAACCTATTCTTTCCTCTCAAAGAAGTAGGAAAAAAAACCAAATTCTAAATTAGTAGAAAGAAAGAAATATGAGAGCAGAAATAAATAAAACAATGACTAAAGTGAAAAAAAATAATAAAAATATCAGTGAAATGAATAATTGATTTTTTTGAAAGGATAACCAAAATTGGCAAACCCATAGCTAGGAAAGAGAGAGAAAGAAGACTCAGATAAATAAAATCAATGATAAAAGGTAGAAAGCACAACCAAAACCAAATAAATATAAAGGAATATTCAAAATTATTATGAAAACTAAATACTAATAAATTTGATAACCTAGAGTAAATGGACAAATTCTGGGACATATACATCTTGATAAGATTGAAACATGAAAAAATAGAAAACCTGAGCAGACCAATAACCAGTATGAATTAGTGATTTAAAAAAAAATCTTCTACCAAAGATATTATACCCTTACCTCTATCCAGTTTCAAAAATCAACTCAAATGGTCTAAAGATTTAAATATAAGGCCTAAAACTATGGAACTATTAGGAAAAAAACAGGGGAAATATTTTAGGATACTGAAAATGTTTTAGACAAGATCCAAAAATCATAGGAAACAAAAGCAAAAATGAACAAATGGAATTAAACAAAAAAGAGACTCCACACAACAGAGAAAAATCATCTGAGTATGAGAAAATTTACAGATTGTGAGAAAAATATTTGCAAACAATACATCTTGCAAGGGGTGGGCTGAGGATATAGCACAGTTGGTAGAGTGCWTGTCTTGCATGCACAAGGCCCTGGGTTCAATCCCCAGCACAACAACAAAAAGCCACATCTTGCAAGGGGTTAATATTTAGAATACATAAAGAACTTCAATAATTTGAAAGCATATACAAAACAATAAACTAAAAAAAACAAATCAAAACAAGCAACAACAACAAAAAAAAAATAAAGCTTGATTTAAGAGGGGGCCACAGACCCAAATAGACAATTCTAAAAAGAAAACATACAAATGGTCAAAGGGTATATTTTAAAAAGCTCAAGAGCTTTAAGCATTAGGGAAATGAAAATCAAATCCATAATGAGATACCACCTCCCTCCGTTAAGAACAGCTTTGATCAAACAAAATGAAAGATAACATGTACCAATGAGGATGTGAAGAAAAAGGAAAATTTGCACACTGTTGGGTGCGAATGTAAATAGCCATGGTGGAAAATGGCAAGGAGGTTTCTCAAAAACTTAAAAATTGAACTACCATATGATCCACCAGTGCCACTACTGTATATACATGTAGAGGAAATGATGTCAGAATGTTGAAGCGATATCTGTACCCCCATGTTTATTACAGCACTACTAACTATAGCTAAGAAATGGAAACAATCAACTAACAAATAGATTAAAAAAATGTTATGGAATACTATTTATCTCATTTATACAAAAAAGGAATAACATCATGTCCTTTGTGGCAACATGGATGAATCTGGATATCGTTTCATTAAATGAAATAAACGGGGCACTGAAAGATATATACCACATGATCTTATGCATATGTGGGATGCACAATGTTTAATCAAACAGAAATCTAGAGGAGAATGCTGGTTACCAGAGGCTAGCGAAAGTAAGGCGTGGGGTGATGAGGAAAGGATGATCAATGGGTACTGTTACAATTAAGTAGGAGTAAGAAGATCTGGTGTACACAGTAGGGTCGCTGTAGGAAACAATCATCTATTCAATTTTGAATATTGTATATTTCAAAAGCTAATATTAATTATTTTTAATATTTCCATAAAAAGAAAAAAATTGAGGATATAGATTTAACATTTTTAGACATTACATAATGTATAAATGTATTGAAGCCTCACATGTTGTACTCCATTAATATATATGATGTTGTTTTTATGTAACAGTTGAAATAAAATTAAAATACATGAATTAAGCTGAGAGATAAGATAGGCTTCTTATTGTAAAAGGAGAAGTAAGATTTAGAGCTCCTGATAACAGGGAGTGCACCACTGGAGCCACAAAGCACAGAACTATGTTCAAAACAGCACAGAAGTTTCTGGCTAACTAATTAGACACTGAACAAGGAAGTGGTACTAGCAGTTGCCTCTTGTAGCATTACTGTACAAAAGAAACGTTACACATGGGTGAAACTGTTCTACATCTGTGCTGTTCCATCTGGTATGCATTTTCCAAGTATCTAGCACTAGGAATATGGCTTGACAAATGAGGAACTAAATTTTTATTTTATTTAACTTTAATATAAATAATCTCAAATATATAGTATTCAAATCATCAAGTATTATTGTAGACTTTATTTTCTTTGCATTTATATCAGTGTGTCATCCTTGGAGAAAAAGGAGATAGTGAAATACTATGTCGTTCAAGAATCCCTCTCTGTTCCCAACAACCTCGTCAAGTTAAAGAGTGAGTTTGGGCCAGAATATCCAGATAAATATTACCTCAAAGGACTGATTTTCTCTCATGTGGACTGGGAATAATGGCAAGTTAGCATTATCTGTAGAAAACTGCTTTCTTCCATGCACACCAAGTTCCTTGAGATGCTGCTCATACAGTTGGACAAAGCTAGCTAAGCTAGTGATGTCACTGCTTATGTAGCCTAACTTATTAAAAACCCTCTCCCTGTGGAAACTGGTGGGAAATTGAGGACAATGTGAAGAGGCAAAGTGCTACTTATCTAGCTGTATGTCACTGGACAAGACATTATGAGGGATGAAGATGCTATTTTCCAGAGTAAGTGTAAGAAGGGATGGAAACAAAATACCAGGAGGGATGGAGGTGCTATGGTTTTACCTATTACCCTTGGACCTTCCCTATAAGCATTTTTCAAGAAACCTGAAGTCTCTCWTGCTATCTACAGGTACTTTCTTTGATCTCTTAACAACCTATTACACTGTCCTTGCATAGCTAGGTATGAACAGTACAATCAGTTTTGAATCATGTATTTTCAGGCTCTGTGACAAGGTACATGCATATTGGCATTTTTCAGTATGTAGTGCAGCTTGACCAGTTGGAACATGGTGGCTTCAAGAACGGGAGTAAAAGAATAAGAATTCTTATTCTTTTACTATGTGCAGAGATAAATAAATATAATAAAAACCCAAAATGATCAAGCTTAAATTAGATTCATGAATATCATTAGTTTTCACTACTTTAGAGAACAAAGTGAAAGTAATCAAGGAAAACTCCAACCTTGGTTTACATCTTCCAATAATATATTAGGTAGTGCATTTTAATAGATTTATTCTAAAATAGCTGTAATGAGGATTAGATTCAGTTTGGTAATTTTTCCTACTACTTAATCTTTCATTTTATGAAAATTTTATGTAACTCAAAGGTTTATATGCTTTGAATGAAATGCACCAGTGTTTGTCAAATTCTGGAAATCTAATAGTATGGATTTTGTCTATTCTGCCCACAAAGAAATTAAGGTTAAATAATATAAGTTAGGTGATAATTTTATGAAGGAAATAAAGTTCTTGTCTCCATTTCCTCAGCAAGAATGAATTCAGGCATCTATTTCCATGGTGGGAATAACATAAATGATGGGGAAATGTAACCCAATAGAACTGGGAGGCAGTAGTAAAGATCAGACCAACAGAAATAAGTCCTATACCAAATCTACAGAGTCTAAGGCTGTGAATGCTGTGATCACTTACCAAACCCCATGAGAATAAAAGATCCAACCAACATGATGATAGCCTGGAGGGTGTCTGTGTAAATCACTGAGGCCAAGCCCCCTGTGAAGAGAAAAAAGAGGCCCAGGTCATTTTGTCCATGTCTACTCATCTATTTGCCTTTACTGCTGGGTTCTCAACTAATCAAACCATGGAAATGACTCACAGAAAACATATCCAAAGCTCTTGGCTGAGCCACAAGCTTGTCTTGACATCATTATCTCCTTAGTGTGCGAAACTTCCACTTATATCCTATCTCCCTTGTCCTGATTTAAAGTTTCTATAAATCAGAATGGAGTTCCATCTTCATGTGGATTTTTAAATTTTAAGTAGGGGAAATTTTTTATTATCTCAAAAGTTTCCCTGAACAATTTCTGAATTCCTCTCATTTGACAAAATACATGTGCTCTCAAAAAAAAAAATATCTAAACTGTTTTTGCTCTTGTTTTATAACATATCATTGTTCTGTTAGTTGAATACCTGAAACACTCATTGACTTGTATTTTGCATCAATATTAACAACAACAACAAAACACATTTTTTTAGAATAAGGGGTTTTTGGTCCCTTTAGTGTTATACATGACAGTAGACTTCATTGTGACATAATTATAAACATAGAATGTCAGGAGGGACCAATGATTCTCTGGAAAACAGGAGAGTAAGGCCCTTATCTCTTATATAATCTGAACATACACTCAATCTATAAAAAGGGCCAACACCCCAGCAGTGAAGCTGAGATCAACATCAAATCAGAAATATTTAAAGTGGATACAAAACTATTTCCACAATGCAGACAATTAAGTATGTAGTGGGCAATGGTGCTGTTGGAAAAACATTCCTCCTTATATCCTACACAACAAACCAATTTCCATTGGAATATGTACCAACTGTTTTTGACATCTGTGCAGTCACAGTTATTATTGGTTTGCAGTCATGGACTCTGGAACATTTTGATACTTCAAGGCAAGAGGATTATGAGAGATTATAACTGCTGAATTATCCACAAACAGATGTATTTCTGTTTTTCAGTGGTCTCTCCATCTTCTTTCAAAATGTGGGGGAAAAAAGTGTGTGCCTAAAATAACTCACCATTGTCCAACAACTCCTGTCTTCTTGTTGGAACCCAAATTGATCTCAGAGATGAATCCTCTACTATTGAGAAACTTGCCAAAAACAAACAGAAGTGTATCACTCYAGAGACTACTGAAAAGCTGCCCCATGATCTGAAGGATGTGGAGTGTTCTGCACTCACACAGAAAGACCTAAAGAATGTGTTTGATGTAGCAATATTGGCTGCCCTGAAGCCTCTAGAACCAAAGAAGAGCTGCAAATATGTGCTGTTATGACCACCTCTCCAGACCCCTTTCTGCAAAGATGGTGTTGTCATTATACTAAGTAATATTTAAATCAAACTAAAAATTAAAAATTAAAATTTATTTCTGCCATGATGACAAATGCCCTACATCTATGCACATGCACTCATGTGAGACAAGGCCCATAGGTATGGCCCCTGCTTTCTCTCCCAATACTAGTTAATTCTGAGTAAATATGCATTGTCATAAAAATGATTAGCACTAGTTTTTGTTTTGTTACTTTAAAAACAGTTTTTTCTGTTGTTATTTTAAAGCAAGGCATGCTGTGATGACTATGTAACAGATTAATTTGTTGAAGGCATTCCCTGAATTGAACCTGTACAGTAACCTAAAACGTTTTAGTGGCTTTTTGTTCTTATTCTTGTTTAATGAAAATCATGGAGAGAGTCTTGTGGACACTCTTTAATAAGGTTAAATGGGATTTTTTTTCAGCTTATTTAGGTTGCAATTTTCAGTTTTTAAAAATGTTTAGGTAATTTTTTCCACTTCCCCAAATCCTAAATCTTGTAGATTCATTAGTGTAAAAACTAAGGTTTTCTCATGTCTCAATTTTTTGAATATGCATTCTTTTCAAATGTATTAAACAAACAAAAAACCCTCAAAAATGGCTCTAGAACTGTGGGGGGGGTTCCAAATGAAATATAATTGTGCAAAATTGTAGAACTCATTGTGATTTGTTTATAAATAATTTGGCCAATTTCATTGCTTAGTATCTATTCTCCCTTTTTTCCCTATCATTTTCCCTTTCTGATTCCTATTCTTTCTGGTCCATTATGCTTTTGATATGAGGTTCCCCCAAAAGCTTCATTTCTGTAGGAGTATTCAAAAGTGAAATGATTAGATTGTGAATGCCATAATCTAATCAGTCCTTCCTAGTTTGAATGGACTGGGAAGTAAATATAGTCCAGTGGGTCACTGGAGGAATGCCCTGAAAGTGCATATCTTCCTTATGGTCCTTACCCCTCTGTTTCCTTATTGACATGAAGAGAGTAGCTTCTCTCTGCCATACCCTTCCTGCAAGACATTCTGCCTTACCTTGCCAAGAGCAATGCAGTTAACCACCTATAGACTGAGATTTCTGATTTTATGAGCCAAAATTAACTTTTCCTCCTCTAAAATGTTCTCTTTTTTTTGGACCTGGGATTGAACTCAGAGGTACTCAACCACCAAGCCATATCCCCAGCCCTATTTTGTATTTTATTTAGAGACAGGTGTCACTGAGTTGCTTAGTGCCTCGAAGTTGCTGAGGCTGGCTTTGAACTAGCGATTCTCCTGTCTCAGCCTCCCAAACCTCCCACACCACGCTCGGCCTAAGTTGTTCTTGTTGGGTATGTTGATCACAGTGAAGCAAAGCTGCCTAAAAGAGAAATTGGTACCGAAAAGTATGGTCATTTCTGTGACTAACCTGACCATGTGGYTCAGAAGATTTTGGAAATCATTTGAAGGAGGAATTTGGAAAAGTTTGGAAATGCAGGCTAGAAAAGCCTTAGAATGTTATGAGTAGAGCTTAATGAGTGATTCTGGTGGGAGCTCAGAAGAATATACTGCTGATTTGAATGCAGACTGAGCCCATGAAGTTTCAGAGGCAAATGAGAACTCTAATGGGAATTAGACTAGAGGCCACTCATGTTATCTTCCAGCAAAGACCTTGTTCACATTTTGCTCATGTCCTCACTTTTGTGAGGCTGAATATAAAAACAATGCACTAATTAAGATAGCAGAGGACATTACAAGGTACTATAGTAATCAGTTGGTGGCACAGATGTTGTTGGCAGCTTTATCCCTGTTTACTGGGGGAATCAGGAGCAGAAAGTAGCTAAAAGATTATAAAAACTAGCCAAAAACCCTTGAAGTTTAACCAGAAAAGTACTTGTAAAATTGGGGCCAAGGAAGGTGTGCATGTTGAAGAGACTGTAGCCCCTAAAGTGATGCTAATTACTTTGCAGAAACAATGGGAAATGCTTCAGAGGCATTTCAGAAATTTCAAGACCACACCACGGCAGACTTGAGGGTATAGAAGGGAAAATTCCTTCAAAAAGAGATCATGTGGGTAGCCTGATTGCACAGGATGGCCTAGGATATTTTTGCACCATGCTGAGCCATGCAGTCACTCAGAGGTACTTCAGCCATGGTTCCAGGAGGCTGCAGTATCACATGAACTGGCAGAGGAAATAAGCATCATCCACACGGTGCTGGTTCTGCAGGAATGCARATTGCTACAGTTAAGGGATCATGGAGGATTCCACTGAAAATTCAAAGACAGACCTGGGAGACCAGGCAAAATGTAACAGAGTCAGAGTTCCTGCAGGCTGCCCTTGAGAGGGTGATGCATTAATCTGTGAAAGTGAGGCCAAAGCTGGAATGGAGACCCCAGGAATTAAGAGATGCAAGTTATATGGACAGTCTGTTGAGAAAAACTGTTAGCTCAAGAGGAAACTAGACTAAAAGAGAGGTTTTGTGCACTTGTTTCACCATAAAAGTGAAAGGGGCAGGGCTGCCTATGCCCTTTGGAGAAAACATCTTGCAACCATATGTCCTAGATGCTATGCATGGAGTTATGGGACCTGATGTATGTGGAATGATAGGATTAGTTTTCCTAGCCGGGTTTTAGTCTTGCTTTGGCCCTATCTCTTTTTATTATGCTTCTATTTCTCCCTTTGGAATGGGAATGTTCACTCTGTGCAACTACATATTGGATATGTAGCTTGCTTTTGGTTTTTATAGGAGCTCACAGGCAAGAGTTTGATTTGAATCTCAGAGATTTAGACTTGGTTTTTGGGATATGCTGGAACTATTAAGACTATGTAATTCTTGGAGATAGACTAAATGCATTTTGCATGGTGAGATAGACATGAACTTTTGGGGGGCAGGGGCAGAATGTTATGGTCTTGGTAGGAAGCATCCCCAAAAAGCTACTGTTGTTCTGTGGAAATATTCACAGGTAAAAATGATTGATTTGTGAAATCTGAAACCTAATCAAGTCCTTCCTAGTTTGAATAGGCTGAGTGGTAACTTTAAGCAGATAGGATGTGGCTAGAGGAGATGGATCACTGGGGGAATGCCCTGGAAGGGTATATCTCTCTTGTATCACCTTAACTCTCTCCTGTGCCATGAGGTGAGCAGCTTTCCTCCACCACAACCTTCCCCACAGTTTGTCTGCCTCACCATGGGCACAGAGCAACAGAGTTGGCTGTCTATACTGAGATCCCTGAAACCATGAGCCAAAATAAACTTTTCTTCCTCTAAGTTGTTCTTGTTGGGTATTTAGACACCTGATACAAAGCTAACTAAAATGTGGTCTTCTTTCTATTTCCATGAAAATTCTCTTTTTGCCCTTTTTTCTCTCTAGCTTCCACATATGACAGAAAATATACTATGCCTGACTCTCTGAAACTGGCTTATTTCACTTCACAGGATACAGAAATGTCTTTTTTTTTTGGCAGGGGTGGGGTGCAAGGATTGAACTCAGGGGCAGTTGACCACTGAGCCACATACCCACCCCTATTTTGTATTTTATTTAGAGACAGTGTCTCACTGAGTTGCTTAGTGCCTCATTTTTGCTGAGGCTGGATTTGAACTCGCTATCCTCCTGCCTCAGCCTCCCAAGCCACTGGTATTACAGGCCTGGCTCAGAAATGTCTTTTATTGTTCAAGTTATTAGCTATTTTTTTTTAATTTTGTCCAACTCAAGTGATAGTTTAATTTTCATAAATTTGTATGCATGAGACACTAAACCAAAAAACCTGATTGACAGCCTGCTTGAACTATTGCTGCACACCTTTTCTCCACAACCAACTTACTGCTCCAATTCTACTTTCCTAACCAATGATTGTATTCATTTAATATACTATGCCTGAGCTATGAGCTTCTTTTTCATCTCAACCTTCCATGTGTATGATATGCTGAATTCTAAATGATAATCTGGATACCAAACATAAAATGTCACTTTTCTTAATCAAAGTACTCATATATAATACTGAGGATTCTTTTTTATTTACTACTTTTACTATTCATGTTTCTGATCTTGTGCCTGACTCTCATAGAGGAAATGACATGGTATCCTTCCCTTGACAATGTCAAGGCTAACACTGGGTTACTAATTGCAGGGATAGGTTAAGCAGAAGGTAACATACTGTGTAAAACACTAGCAGACTCACCAGTTATTGTGTAAACAGCAGTGACAGCCAAGAGGATAAAGATTGCCAGGTAAATATCCAATCCCAAGGCCAGCTGGATGAATATGGCTCCAGAAAATATACTTGTCTAAAAAGGGAATGGAACAGTCGGGATGGGAAAGAAACATGCATTTCACTTCTATGGGTTCTTTGCTCCAATGTCCAGTCTCCCTCCCTTCTTTTCCTAGTAAACTCCTAATCATTCTTTAAGGCTCCCATTTAGATGTCTCTACAACAATATCTTCCATAAAGCTTCAAACAGCAATTTTCTCTCTCTCTCTTCTGTATTCTCATAGCACTTAATTCATTGCCCAATTAAGGTACTTATCAAATTATGGGACGAGTCCTGAGAACGTTTTCTGTACCATGATGCTTAAAGATACTGGTACTGAGTATTTGTTTATAAGAATACTCTTGATGTGATAGAGTAGATAGATAGATAGATAGATAGATAGAYAGAGATTTATTTCACATAATATTCTTGTTTGATTTTTATTTATATGTGTGTTTTTATTTTGTAAAATCACATACAATATTGGGTTTGTTTCAAGAGATTAATGTGGAAATTTCTTCTCTATCTTGCAAAAGTTTAAGCTATCAAGGAATTACAGGTTGGGTCTATTCCAAGAGATGAATGGGGTAATTTTTCCTTCTGTTCTGGAGAACCTTAAGTTTTCGAGGATTTATTTCTTCCCCCAAGCCCAAAAGAATTTACTCCTATCATCTTTTATTTTCCAAACTCTATGTAAAGGAGATATCTTTATTACAATTATTGTGCATCTAAGGATTTATCTAAGTTCTGGGGATTTATCTAAGGTCACAGAGGTAGCTTGTGGCAAACACAGAATTTGAACACATGCAGCATTACTTCAATTTTTACATTTCTTAATATAGTGTTAGCAGCTGTCATGGGATTTTACTTAATGAAATATAATAGTAATATTCAGAAATTCAAAGAAATCATTATGATCATATGGGAATAATGGCTACATGGTTTTGAATCTCTAAAGGAGACGGAGTAATTATTTAGTCAAATCAACAAAATTAAGCATTTCCACAAAGTCTAAAATGCAATACAAGGGAACAGATCAATGTTATCCACAATATTTAAATGGTAGCAAGATTGGAAAGAAGTAGAAATATACAAAAATGTATTTGAAGAACCTTAGAATTAGACATTCTCACCTAGCAAATAKTTATTCACTGGGATTGGAAAGAAGTAGAAATATACAAAAATGTATTTGAAGAACCTTAGAATTAGACATTCTCACCTAGCAAATAGTTATTCACTGGGAATCACAATAGGACAATTTTAGAACTTTAGCTTATAGTGAAAATAATTTTGCTCTAATGACTAGTGGGTGAATATAAATATTCCTTGATAGGTCCAAATAGTCCAAATCATACAAAATCTCAAAAATAACTGCCCAAATTCTCTTTAAAAACAGGGACTTGAGGGGCTGGGGTTGTGGCTCAGTGGTAGAGTACTCATCTGGCATGCATGATGCACGAGGCACTGAGTTCAATCTTCAGCACCACTTAAAAATAAAATAAAGATTGTGTCCACCTAAAACTAAAAAATAAATTTAAAAAAAATAGAGCCTTGATGTTCTGCCCCAGATTAACCCTCCCACCATAGCAACCCCCACCATCCTGAGGGTGGAGCTAGCATCAAATTCCAGACAAACCCACCTTTTGAAATCCAATAAAAATAATTGGTCAAAATTTTGAGATTTTTTTTTCTCTCATATTTCTACTATTTTTGAAACCAAGTATTTTTCATCCATGAGTTTATTGGGACTGGGATGTCTGAAGAGTATGTTACAGTTTTGTTGTGTTCTTTTATTTTTACTTTTTTAAAATTTATAATATATATATATATATATATATATATATATATATATATATATATTCCTCTCACTTATCTCTTTCCATATTTTTCCTCTCACTTATCTCTTTCTCTGGATTCTCTTTCTCTCTTTTCTCCTGCTAACAGCCAACCTCTATTAATTCCTATGTTACTCTCCCTATAATTTTTTACTTCTATCTTTTTTCCTCCTTCCTCATAACCTCACATCTTTCATCACTTCTGTTCATTCTTTGTCTATGATTTGAAATTGTAAACCCTTTGAAAATTTACTATTTATATTGTAGGCAATAGCTGAACATATTTATTGCAACAAGACTGTAGATACCTTAATTGGAGCTATGTGGTTTAAGTCTATATATGTTTGCATTGGGTACTGTTAATATTGGTCTCCCCCTTAAAGGCAAGGGACAGGAAACCTTCAGGAATATTATAAATCTACATGGTAGAAACTGTACTGCCTAAGATCTGCACCGCTATWTGGGAAGACACGTGGACAACATAAAAGAGAGAGAGAACAAAGCACCCCAAACAAACCAAGATGATCCAATAATAGAGCCCATTGACAACAAAATAGAAGAAATGTCAGATAAGGAGTTTAGAATGTGCATAAACTGATCCAGGACATAAAGGACAATGTAAGGAGTGAAATCTGAGATAAATTTCAGGAGGTGAAAGATCATTTTAATACAGAGATAGAAATTCTGAACAGAAATCCTCAAATTGAAAGAATCAATAAATCAAGTTAAAAATTCAATGGAAAGCATCCCCAATAGACTAGATCATTTGGAAGACAGAACCTCAGGCAATGAAGACAAAATACATAACCTTGAAAATAAAGTTGACCACACAGAGAAGGTGGTAAGAAACCAAGAAGAGAACTTCCAAGAATTGTGGGATAACATGAAAAGACTAAATTTAAGATTTATCAAGATAGATGAAAGTGTGGAGACACAGGCCAAAACAATGCACAATTTTCTCAATAAAATAATAACAGAAATTTTTCCAAACCTAAGAATAAAATAGAAAATCAAAAACAAAGGCTTATAGGACCATAAATGTACAAAATTACAACAGGCCAACATTATAATGAAAATGCCTAACATACCGAATAGAGATAGAATTTTAAAGGCTGAGAGAGAAAAATATCAGATTACCTATAGGGGGAAACCAATTTGGATCTCAGCTGATTTCTCAACCCATACCCTAAAAGCTAGGAGGTCCTGGAATAATATATATCAAGCTCTGAAAGAAAATGGATGGTAATCAAAAGTTCTACATTCAGCAAAATTAAGCTTCAGATTTGAAGATGAAATAAAAACCTTCCACCAAAAAAAAAGTTAAAATAATTCACTAGAAAGCCTGCACTATAGAACATTCTCAACAAAACATTTTATGAAGATGAAATGAAATTTAAAAGTGAAAACCAACAAAGGGAGGAACTACACTAAAGGAGTAGTCAATCAAAAAGAAACTAATTCAAATAAAAACCAGAAATAAACCAAATGACCAGGAATACAAATCATATCTCAATAATAACTTTGAAAATTAATGGCTTAAGTTATCAATCAAAAGACAAAGATGGTAAGATTTGATTTAAAAATAAAAGACCCTAAAATGAGCTGTCTCCAAGAGACTCACCTCATAGGCAAAAACAGCCACAGACTGAAGGTGAAAGGATGGGAATAAACATATCACTCATATGAATCACATGAACTAGCAGAGGGTTCTAACCTTGTATCAGATAAAGTGGACTTCAAGATAAAGTTAATCAGAATGGACAAAAAGGACATTTCAAACTGTGTAAGGGAAAGATATATCAACAAGACATGACAATCTTAAATATTTATGTCCCAAACAATAGGGCATCTATGTATATCAAACAAACCCTCTAAATTTCAAGAATCAAATAGATCACAATACAATAATACTGGGTAACTTTAACATACCTCTCTCACCACTGGATAGATCTTCCAAACAAAAAGTAAATGAAGAAACTATAGAACAAAATAATACTATCAATAATTTAGACAACAGACACATATGGAACATTTCATTCGTCAATGAGCAAATATACTTTTTTCTCAGCAGCACACAAATCCTTCTCTAAAATGGACCATATCTTAAGCCACAAAGAAACTCTTAGCAAATACAAAAAAATAGATATACTACCCTGCATTCTATCAGAACATAATGGAATTAAATTATAAATCAGTGATAAAATAAAAAATAGAAGCTACTCTACTACCTAGAGACTAAATAATAAACTAATGAATGATGAAGGTATAGCAGAAGAAATCAGAGATRAAATTAAAAAATACTTAGAGGTAAATGAAAACAGTGATACAACATATCAAAATTTCTGGAACAGTATGAAGGCAGTGCTAAGAAGAAAGTTCATTGCATTGAGCTCATTCATTAAAAGAATAGAAAGTTGGGCTGGGGCTATAGCCCAGTGGTAGGGCACCTGCCTCACACATGTGGGGCATTAGGTTCAATACTCAGCACTACATAAAAATAAATTTAAAAAGATATTGTGTTCATCTACAACTAAAAAAAATTTTTTAAAGGATAGAAAGTCAATGAATAAATGACATTACATCTCAAGGCCCTGGAAAAGAACAAATAAACATCAAAAGCAGTAAAAGATAGGAAATAATTAAAGCCAGAGCTAAAGTCAATGAAATTAAAACAAAGGAAACAATTCAAAAATTTGACAAACCAAAAAGTTGKTTCTTTGAAAAAATAAAAAAATTGATACACCCTTAATCATGCTAATGAAGTCAAAGAGAGAAAAAACTCAAATTACTAAAATTCATGATGAAAAAAGGAAATATCACAACAAACACTACTGAAATAGAGAAGATAATTAGAACCTATTTTGAAAATTTATACTCCAATAAAATAGAAAATCTTGAAGACATCAAAAAATTTCTAAAGACATATGACCTACCTAAAATGAATCAGGAAAACATACACAATTTAAACAGATCAATTTTAAACAATGAACATGAAGACACCATTAAAAGCCTACCAATCAAGAAAAGACCAGGACCAGATAGATTCTTGAGTTATACAAGACCTTCAATGAAGAATTAATACCAGGTGTGACACTACATCATGTACAAYCATAGAAATGTAAAGTTGTGCTGCAGTTGTATACAATGAATCAAAATGCATTCTGCTATCATATATACCCAGTTAAAATAAATTAATTAGTT